GGAACCCAGCGGAGGAGCGGCGGCGCAGCGGCGGTGCCCCGCGCTCACTGGGGCCTGACGGCCTAAAATGATTTTTATGTGAAGTTTTATGAAAGAACAGAAAACTAACAAATGTTGTTCATAACCATAGAGACTATTTAAAAATAATAAAAATAGAAATAAATCCTATAATCAAGAAAATGCCACTTGTCTTATCAGAAAAACCCCAAAAACTGCCAATAAGGTATTTTCCAATACGTTAAATATATATGGAATTTATAATAACTAAGTTTCATGATACGTTTTATTACTTCTGAATGCTTATGTTTTAATTTCAAAGTAATGATTACTTCAAAATAAAGCCAAGGTGTTTAGTATTTTATAACTTCATTATTTTACATTTCAGACCTCCAAGAAAACTCAGATCACAGATTACAAAACAGTCAGCCTTCAGAGTATATTTTGTCTGACAGGCAGAATGGTTAACTTCTTAAAATAGAATACCTTCATGTAGTACTTACTTGCTCTAGTTGCCCACCTTCCCACATCATCACCTGCTAGGCATGTGAGATTGACACCCCATTTTTAATATTATAAACCCGATATTTAACTATAAATTTGTTACATTCAGAAAGCAAAAATTCAAATGTTATATACTTCATGCTAAATGTTACTAGTTATTTCTAATTGGGGAAAAAGAGATTCAACCAAAAAGGTCTCATTTACATAATACTTCCTTGCATATCAAATTATCAAACCCATTTGTATAGATGAGTACTATTTTCCTAGAAGGAATACTGTTACGTGTAACCTGAAATCTGAGTTAGATAAATCACACCAAAAAGCATTATATACTGATTTTTACTATAAAGTCTTATCTCCCAAAGAGTAGCTTTTGACTTTACCCATACATGTATTACAAAAATTCTCAAATACCTGATTGAGTTAAGGAAAGATGACCTTAAAAGGCTAACATAATAACAAATAAAAAAGACTTTGTTTTAATCCTAGAGAATGAAGCAAAAAAGAGAAAGATCTTGTAAGACAAATTTGAAAAGAGGAAGTATTTGAAGTAAATTTGTCCTTGGACCCTTTTACATTGCTACTCCTTCAACTTGTACAAGTTAAAGAATAAGAGAGGTCCCAAACTGTTCCCTAGTGGAAAAACCTGCAAGGAAAGCAAAGCAGCTGAGCAGTGAAGGAGAAAACTCAACAAAGTTGTAAAAATGTGTAGTTATGAAAATAATTTAGAAATTATGGTATTAATTCCATCCTGAAGCTTAAGAAACAGCAAGTAGTGACATGAATTAGACATTATTAATCTGTTGGATCTTTTCATTTTTAATATTTTTTGTTGGGTCTTTTTACATTACACACGAATAAAAGGCTAATCTGTAATTGTTTAGGTTCAAAGCTGATAGGGAACACCTATTTACCTTTGAATTTGTGTCATCTCTTAAAGTTTAACATCTGATTCCCATCTAAAAAAAATACATGATTGAGACAAAACAAAATTTCAGTCATTAAGACAAGCTTCTTAGCTGCATTTTGATGGGGTCATAGAAAAACTTCACAGTATTAATCCCATCAATACCAAGTTACTGCAGTCAAGTTTGTAAGTGTTAATTAAATTTGCTATCACCATCCCCACACTTTATTGCAGTGACAGAAAGACTGAGTCATTTCATTTCTTCAAGAAAAATTACAGATATGGTTACTGGAAGCTTTTTTAAAATAATATATTTTAATTGATTTCAGAGAGGAAGGGAGAGGGAGAGAGAGATAGAAACATCAATGATGAGAGAGAATCATTGATCTGCTGCCTCTTGCATGACCCCTACTGGGGATCGAGCCCACAACCTGAGCATGTGCCCTTGACTGGAATCGAACCCAGGACACTTCAGTCTGCAGGCCAACGTTCTATCCACTGAGCCAAACCAGCTAGGGTGGTTACTGAAAGCTTTTAAAAAAACATTTTAAGATTTATTTCAACAGTGTTCAGGGTCCTATATTAATAAAAATATAAGCAAACTAGAGGCTGCGGTGGGCACAGGGGCAGGTTTCGGCCCATCCTCCGTGTCCCTGCTGGTCCCTCCCCCCGTCCCCTGTCTGCCAGCAGCCCTGCTCGCCACTGCTCGAATTCATTGATGGTGCAGAGCAATTGGGGCCAGTGCCAGCAGCAGGTGTGAGCAGGGCCGCTGTCAGAAGGTACGAGCAGAGCGGGCACCATCGGTGGGTGCCAGCGGCAGCTGCTGCCCCGATCACTCCTCAGGAGCAGGGGGAGGTGAAGAAGCCCTGAGGGACATTCAGGGCCAGCAGCCACCGCTCGCACCTGCTGAAGGTGCCAAGTGATTGGGGCGGGGGCTGGCGCCGGGCACTGGCAGGGGGTGCAAGCAGCAGCTCCAGTGCCAGCAGTGGGTGGGAGCAGGTCTGGAGCCGGCAGCAGGTGCAAACCCTGGGAAGGACTGCAGCACATGGGAGCAAAGAATTTTCAGTAGACACCAGAGGCTCGCCCTGATGACAGTGAATGGCGCCCTGCCTTGGACTGGCGCCCCCACTCACCTGTCCCACCATCCCGCCACAGCTGACGCCCGCCATGTTCTGCACTTTGCCACCTGCTGCAGATGCTGCCATGTTCTGCGCATGACCCCTGGTGGTCAGTGGACATCATGCTGAACGGTTGTTCGGTTGTTCCGTCATTCAGTCTATTTGCATCTTAGGGTATTATATATATAGATAGGGTTGCATCTTGGTCTGTGAATGATGTTCTTGACAATGGACTTATAAGTATTTTTAAAATACCACTAAGAGGACACTGGTTAAAGTTTATCTCTGACACAATTTTTTGAGAAACCTGTTCGCAGCTTTGCCATAAAACTGATTTAAGGTAGTTGTGTTTTTCATTAATGTTTAGAGCAATCTAGCACTTGCTATGAATTATTCATATTGGCACACTGTACTAAAATATAATTGTGCAACATTTTGTAAACTAGTTGAAATGTCCAGTAGCTCTGTTCACTAAGCCATATGCATGTCTCATATATGCAAGTCTTAATAGGTTTTTTTGATACTCTTTGCCAATTACAATGGGAGGATAATCTGCCTGTATTATCTTTATTGGCATTTGTAAAATATGAGAGACAGATTTTAGCTCAAGCTGACTTCCTCATGCAGCTGTGTATATAATGCCATCACAGTACTTTCCAAATTCTTCTGAAGTATACATATCTCCTGTATTAGGGTTTGTTAAAAATGGCAGAAAATCTTCCACATGGCTTTGCATGTACTTAGCAGTTTAATTACTTAAGGCAGCTATAGTCAGAGGGCATTTCTGTTCTTTCAATTGATCTTAAATGGCTCTCTACATGCAGTGGCTATCAGATGGAATCTTTAATTTCTGTCTAGCTGCCAGTATTTGAGGAAGTTTTTTACTTTCTACACATCTACTAGTAGCTCCATCTAAGTTCTCAATTTCAGCTTCAGCTATGCTTTCTTCTCTTTTTTCCAGTGCAGCTTTTTTGTCCCATCTCTTTTGTGCTGTTGATATCTGAGGTGGCTGATTCTTAAGAACCAAGTTTGAAATGTTAACAGCACCAGACTTTTACTCTCCCTAGAAGTTAGCATAAATTGCTCCAGTTTCTCTCTATGTTTCTGTTCCATTTCTGCTTCCAACTTAGCAACATCTTCATTGAGTTGTTTCCTCCTTTTTTTGTCATTTTTCAGAACAGCATTCTTCATACCTTGAATTTTGGCTTGCAACTCCTCCTTCTCTTTGAAATGCCTCCTCATCAACGGCTCCTCTTGATCAACCCCTTCTGCTGAGACTCTAGATATTTACATTACTTACGAAGTGACCATCCTGATAAATCTAGTAGCCATCTGGCACCATACATAGTTATTACAATATTATTTACTATATTCCCTGTGCTGTACTTGACTTTTTTTTATAACTGCCAATTTGCACATTAAAATCCCTTCCCATTTTTTCATCCATTCCTCCAAGTCTCCTCCCATCTGGAAACCATCAAAATATCATCTGTATCTATGAGTTTGTTTCTGTTTTGTTTATTCATTTATCTTATTTTTTTTAGATTCCACATATAAGTGAAGTCATATAACATTTGTCTTTCTCTGACTCATTTCACTTAGCATAATACCCTCTAGGTCCATCTGTGTTGTGGAAAACGGCAAGATATCATTCTTTTTTATGGCTGAGTCATAGTCCATCTTCTTTATCGATTTGTCTGTCAGTGGGTACCTAGGTTGCTTCCTTATCTTGGCTATTGTAAATAATGCTGCAGTGAACATAGGGATCCAAATGTCTTTTTGAGTTTGTGTTTTAGCTTTCTTAGGATAAATACCCAGAAGTAGAATTGCTGGGTCCTTCTTTGTCTATTGTAATAGCCTTTGTTTAAGTGTCTGTTTGTTTGATATAAATATTGCTACCCCAACTTTTTATTCGTTTCCATTTGCATGAAATATTTTTTTCTATCTCTTTATTTTCATTTTTTGTTTGTCTTTTGACCTGAAGTGGCACTCCCGTAGACAGCATATGTTTGGGTCTTGTATTTTTATCCATTTGGTCATCCTATGGCTATTGATTGGACCATTAATCCATTAACATTTAAAGTAATTATTGATAGCCCTGGCTAGTGTGGCTCAGATGGTTGGAGTTTTGTCCCATACCAGCAAAAAACTTCCAGCACCCCCTCGAAAGCTTGAGGTTTCCATTCCCGGGCAGGGCATATACTAGTACCTAGGTTTTGGGTCTGGTCCGGGGTTAGAGAATGTATGAGAGGCAACCAATCATTATTTCTCCCTCACATCAGTGTCTCTGTCTCTGTCTCTGTCTCTGTCTCTCTCTCTCTCTCTCTCTCTTCCCCTTCTCTCTAGAAAACTGTAAAGTAATTAATAGTTATGCAGTTATTGCTATTTTATTATTTATATTTTTTATCTTATTTTTTGTAAAAACTGATTTGGTAGTGATGAACTTCTTTAACTATTTCTTATCTGGGAAGCTCTTTATTTGTCCTTCAATTCTATATGATAGCCTTATTGAATAGAGGAATCTTGGTTGCAGGTTCTTCCTTTTCCTCACAGTGAATGTTTTATGCTAATTCCTTCTGGCCTTCAAAGTTTTTGTTGAGAAATTAGCTGACAATCTATGGGAGCTCCCTTTGTGGGTCACTAAGTGCCTTTTTCTTGCTATTTATTTATTGTTAATCCTTACCAGAGAATATTTTCCCATTAATTTTAATCAGTTAATTATATTTTTTGTTAATCCTCACCTGAGGATATTTTTCCATTGATTTTTAGAGAGAGTGGAAGGGATGAGAGAGATAGATATAGAGAGAAACATCGATGTGAGAGAGCCACATCCATTGGTTGCCTCCTGCATGTGCTCAAACCAGAGCCACAGATAGAACCTGCAATCGAGGTACGTGCCCTTGACTAGAAAAGAACTGGGACTCTTCAATCTGCAGGGCTACGCTCTATCCACTGAGCCAAACTGGGTTCTTTCTGCTTTTAAGATTTTATTTTCGGCTCTAACCTTTGGCATAACATACATTCTGATGTATGTTAGTGTGAGTCTGTTTGGTTTCATCTTTTTTGGGACTCTGGACTTCCTGCACTTGTATCTATTTACTTTGCCAGGTTAGGGAAGTTTTCCATCATTATTTCTTCAAATAAGTTGTCATTTCTTTGCTCTCTCTCTTCTCCTTCTAACACCCCCATGATGCGAATGAATGTTGGTACACTTGAGGTTGTTCCAGAGGTCCCTTAAGCTATCCTCATTTAAAAAATTCTTTTTTCTTTTTGCTGTTTTGATTGGGTGTTTTCTGCTACCTTACTTTCCAAATAGCTGATTCTGTCATCCGCTTCATCAAATTTACTGTTGATTTCATCTAATTTATTTTTTACTTTTAGTGATTGTATTCTTCATTTTTTACTGGTTCTTTTTTATGTTTTGTTTCCAATTTTTTTTGCTTCTTATCTCTTTGTTAAAGTTCTTACTGAGTTCATCTACTCTTCCCCTACATTCATTGAACATTCTTTTAAACAGTGTTTCAAACTCTGCATCTGGTAGATTATTTGTCTCCATTTAGTTTAGTTTTCTTTAGTTTCCTCCTGTTCTTTCGTTAGTGACATGTTTCTTTGTCTCCTCATTTTGGCTGCCTCCCTGTGTTTGTGTCTATGTATTAGGTATATGTTTCATGTTTCCAGGCTTGATAGAGTAGCCTTATGTAGTAGGTGTCTTGTTAGGTCTAGTGGCACAGTCTCCCAGGTCACATGAGTTAGGTGCTCCCTTGTGTGGATTTTGTGTGTCCTTCTATTGTAGTTGAGTCTTGATTGCTGTTGGCACTTCAGTGGGAGGGATTTACCCTCAGGCTGAATGGCTACGAGGAATGGTCATGATTACATCAGAGATGCAGTTGTGCAGGGGTTGACCCCATGGAGCAAGATTTATGTTAGTGGGGCTCTAGTGCCTGGTGAGTTTGCCCTTTGGCAAGTCATTTGTAGAGGAGATTGGGTGGTCTGTTGTGGTCTGAAGTTAGTCACTGGGTATGTAGATTCTCGGACCTCTTGGGATGGTCTCTGGTGCAGGCCAAGGTCAGCCACTGCCTATGCCATTCTGGGGCCACATGGTATGGGCTATGAAGTGATCTGCAAATGGTTGCTACTTGTGTTTGGCTTTAAGGTGCCTGGGAGAATCTAAGCTGCCATCTAAGGCTGGCTGGCACTAGTGCTGGGATTGGGCCTTGCTTAACAAGAAGAATGGGGTACTCTGAGGCCAACTACTGCTTGTTAGGGGTTTGTGAACCTTTGAGAGATTTAGGAAAGTCCCCAGCGCTAACTGAGACAGGCTATTTAAATGGAAAAGTGGCTTGAGTTGGCCCACAAGTTGTGTGGGGTGGCATCTCAGAGATCAACAGGCAGGGCATTAGCCAGGTTGATGGATACTCAGACTTGGCACTGGCCTTTACCTCTAGGCTCGGTGGAGGGGTCTCAACAAAGGAACGGTGGCATCTGCCAGCGCTTCTGCCTGAGAGAAAGCTGCTCCTCTAGCCCTTGCTTTGAAGCCAGACTGTTCAGTTCCTTCCTATATGTCCCTGGTGCTTTTTGAGTTGCTGCCCCCCCCCCGTACTGCTACTCAAGAGCAAGTGAGTCAGTGAGTAAATCTGTGCACAGGCCCTTTAAGAGGAATGCAATGGTTTTCACAGCCACAGGTTATGGGTCTTCTCTTCCTGGCTTTGGAACCCTAGGCTGGGGAGCCTGGTATGGGGCTGGAACCCCTCCTCAGGAGGGACCTCTGCAGCTGAGTTATCCTTCCTGATTTTTAACTGCCACACATGGGTGTGGGACCCGCCCGTTTTGCATCTCCACCCCTTCTACTGGTCTTGATGTGGCTTCTTCTGTATATTTTTAGTTATAGAACTTCTGTTCAGCTAGTCTTCAGGTGGTTCTCAATGATGGTCATTCCATAGTTTTGTAATTTTGATGTGGGTGTGGGAGGAGGTGAGAGCACTGCGTATACCTACTCTGCTGTTTTGACTGGAAGTCTTACTTGAGAAATTTTTAATTAAAAGGAAAGAATTAAGCATTTTTGTTTTCCTAGTTAGAATAACTATCATCAATTGGTTGCCTCCTGTATATTAGGGTCATTTTTCTTTGTAGGATGATAATAATACAGAAAGTGATGAATATTATAAAACCACCATATTTACAGAGAAGTAAGCAAGTATTTTCAGTGAATACTAAAACCATCATGTGAACATAGTATTTTCTTGGTGCCTAGATATCCCTGCAATATAGAAACATATCTTCTTAGATTCTCAGCGGCATCTTTCTGGAAAATAGTCAAAAAGTAAAAGCATCTCACTGATGGGTAAAATAATAGTTTTTCAGTACAGAGAAATATTAGTAAGGAATGTGGGGTGTTTTTTTTTTTTTTTTTTTTTTTTTTTTTTTTTTTTTTTTTTACTTTTTTTTTTTTTTTTTTTTTTTTTTTTGTCAGAGGGTTTTGAATAGTTGCTCAAGGCCTGAGGTTTGAGTTTTTAAGTGTTGGAATGTGAAACCCTGTTGTTTTGGAAAATATACTAAGGGCTTTATTTTGTTAAAGGCAAGTATATTTGAATTCTATATGATTTATATTGGTGATCACTGGAGGTGATGGTTTTCCACTTTGCCCAGACGTTGTTTTATTAAATTCATTGTTGATGATTTATAGTCACATGGGAGAAATTAGGATTCTCTATTTTATATTTTTCCTTAGTGTAATCATCAAATAGGATGTCTAAAACAAATTTAACCCTAAATTTTGATCTGAATGTATCACAAATAGGATTTAACAAAAAAATTTGGTTGCATGTACTTTTTAAAGGAAATAGACACATACTGTATCAAGATTTTATAAAATTGAAATTACACCTTTTGTCATGTGTCTTCCTGATTAAAAGAGGAAACTTTAGACTATTCTTTTTTAAGCCTTTGAAAGTTTTTCAGTCCTTATTATCATATACCTATTACTTTCTGCAAGATGAATAAATTGTTAATTTGTTGTTTCCTAGGAGGAATACAGAGCTGAAGGTATCAGCTGGCACAATATAGATTATATAGATAACACCTGTTGCATAAATCTTATTAGCAAGAAACCAACAGGACTGCTCCATCTTTTAGATGAAGAAAGCAAGTGAGTATAATTCTTTTCCATTTTGTCATAGGCCATTTGGGGTTTTCATGCATAAGTCCTAATCTTTCTTCTTACATTATCAAATGCATTGTGTGTGTGTGTCTAGGAAAATTGTATGGACTTCACTATTATAGAACTCATTTAAATATGTTTTTCCATTTTTCTTCTACAGAGTTACGTTGATGTTAAATTTGTTGGCATTTATTTTGTTGTGTTTCTCTCTTCTTGAATCAAGTTATATATGTGAGATGTGTTTGCTGTTTTAATGTTTAGTAGAAGATGTATCATGATAGATTAGTGATACTGCCACAACTGTGCAGGTGGTAAGTGGCAATATATGCCAAATATTTACCATCCTTTGTTAATACTGTTCAGTATACTAAACTTATCTATAAGCTTCAGAAATAAAGCTTCACATGGCATCCTCCAGAGCATTCTCGGTGCTCTATAAAGTATTATTTATAGTTAAATTATGCTAAGAGATGGCAGATTTAGAATTGGAGAAACTGAAGTGATGGAGAATGTGGGTTTCTTTTATTTTAAGTAAAATATTTGGAAATTAAATTAGGTCACCTGGTACCTAGCTTAATATTATACCCATTAAACTAGGATATAAAATATTGGGGATTTATTATAGGTCGTATGTTCATATGTTTGTGTGGACAGTCTAAAGTTTATGACTGTTGACTAGTTTAGTTATTAAAGGTACCTACTTTTACCCTCAGAATACCTGGTTTGTATAGTAAGTTATATGTCAACCTATTGATAAGCCATAAACACAAAGAATGGCTGTATAGAAATACAGAGTAAATATGGCAGAATGAAAAATATATTGAAAAGGAGACTGCAGACAGTTACAGCTAACCTCTGTATTACTAGACTATTTACATCAATCTAAATGGATTAAAATGTAGTTATTACAAAAATATTATAATTTCATGGCCACAGTTGTGTAAGTTTTTTGTTTTGCCTATATGCCCTGAAACATATATTATCTCTTATAAAATTGTAAGGTAGTGGTTCTTAACTCTGCTTGTGTACCTTTACTGCTGGTGTATTTTCTTTTGAAAGCGTCATGAGGAGTTTTTTAATTCTCATCCAAGGATATGTTTTTATGCTTTTTATTTTAGAAAATAAGAAAGGGAGAGAAACACTGATATGAAAAACATCAGTTGGTTGCCTCTCATACGCGCCCCAA